AAGTGAGATGGAGATGTGCCTTTGAAAAAAAGAGGGGGAGAAAAGGGCAATCCAGTCCCTGGAGTGATCCTGAAAATAACTGATATTTTTCTTTTTTTTCTCCAGTTCTCTTTGTCTCCTTGTACTCCCAGATGAGTGGGATGGGAAGGTCCCATGGCCTTGGGCAGTCTTTGCTTTGAGAAAGATGAGCACAGGGAGGGGAGATCCTACTGCAGACTCCTGGGGGATTCATTCAGCCATTCTCTCTGCTGTAAAATGGGCACAACAGGATAGTTTGGGCTTCCTGGTGTTTTGTGAGGAGAAATTCTTTACACACAATGAAGTTTTCAGTGACGTCAAGTAATATTTGTTGGTGCAGACAACAGGCTGAGGAGCATCTCCGCTGGTGCTGGATCAAGTCCTGCATGGGGTCGTGGGGGGTGGCTGGTGTCCTTCTGAGCCAGAAGACCTTGCCTGGGGACCCACAGCTCTTCTGACATGCCCCATCTCCTCTCCAAGGCTTGAGATATGTCAGGCAGGAATGCGGAGGGGATTGGGAAAGACGTTTCCCTGCAGGACAGGAGGGTTTTTGGCATGGACTGGCAGGCTGTGCAGAGCTGGGGGCGAGGAGGAGGCAGACAGACATCCCCCCCACCACCACCATCCAGCCCACTCTTTCTCCAGGAGCAGCTCAGATGTTTCAAGCCCCTGCCCAGGAGGTGTGGGGCTGGGCGCCGCTTGCCCCACCAGACCCTGGCTTATCTGCAGGAAGAACCGCGGCTCATTTTAAGCCCTTGTTGATGGCCATCTCATTTACCTGTAAAGCCCAGGGAGGAAAGCAGGGCCAAGGCAGTCTGGAAACAAGACACAGCAAGTCTCATAGCAGAGTCCCAAAATCCTCTGATCCGTATCAGGGTGAGAATCGTGGAGGACAGCAGAGCAGAGCTGCTTCAGGTCAGGAGCGGCAAGAACCCCTCACGAGTGCTGAGATGCTCCGCAGGAACGGAGATAGAACTGGGCTGGGAAGAGAAGACACAGAAAGATGGGGACGTGGGGGATTCCAATGCCATTGCTTGAAAAATCCCAAGGGAGGTAGAGCTGAAATCTCATTTGAGGTTCTTCTTCATGCCCTTTTTCCACCCCCCCACTTTTTTTTTTTTTTTTTTCCCCCGATTTTAATTGATATTTATCCGCAGCACCACATTCTGCTCTTGTTTCTTGTTTGTGCCTCTGTTTTCAAAGCCCTAAGAGCACAAGACAAGCCTCCGGGCCTTAGAGTGGCAGAGCCAGGCTGGTGGGGCAGGAGATGGCCCAGCCTGGGGTCAGACCTCGGGCTCGTCCTCGGACGGGGGAGCTCTCACAGCCCGGCGCGAGGCAGCGGCAAGGGGGCTGTGTTTGTGTGTGACAGTGCCAGGGTGCTGTGTGCCCTCTCTGAAGTTATTAATAAAAATCACAAATGCATCAAGGTCAATCCCTGTGCCAGCTTGCCTCATCAATACTTCAGTGCTGTCTCCTCACCAGTTTCTTTGAAGGGATTATTTCAATATGCACATCGCTCCTCAGCCGTGTGTAATGAGGGGTCAGGCCGGATCCCGCACGCTTTTTGTCTGCAAATAACGTGTCTGCAGCCGTGATTCTCCCTCCCTTCCTCCTTGTGGGTCTGGCAGAAGATTTCTCTGTAGCTTCCCAGCTCCTGGACACCCGTGGTGCTTCCCGACCTCACACTGTGTCAGCTGCTGTGACTGGAGAAGAGTCGTGCACTGAGGACAACAATTCTTTCCCGGGGCTGTGGGGCCAGTGAAGACCCCAGGCCGTGTCCCCCCATAAGCACATGCCCGTTTCCTAGTGGGTGCAATGCTCTTGGAGAAGGTGAGGATGAACCTTTCTGCTTCAGCCCAAGCCAAGTGTCGGATTTGGCTCAGCTTGGGCTGACAGCGGGCATTTGATTGGGTTGATCTCTTTGGAAACCTCTGCTGAGAAGGTCCCTCTTCCTCCCTCCACTCCCACGGGGGATGTGCCCATCCCACTGCTGAACTGGAGCTTGCCCAGAGCCACCGGCTTACCTCATGCCATCCCCATAGGACACTGGCCACAGGGCAAGCAGAGCCCTGCTCCCAGCACCAGAGGTTTTTGAGATGGAGCCCCATGGCAGCAAGGCTGCTGGGGGAGCTGGAGTTGCTGGTGGTGTGCTGCACACCAGCCGAACCGGCTGTAAGCTCAAGGAGGACCTGGGAGGTGGCCATGGGCCACAGCAAGCGGCTGTTTTCTTTCCTTCCATTACAAGCTGGAGGGCTGGGGCTTGGTTTTGTTTATTTTTCTCATCCTTGTTTGAAAACTCACTTTGCTGCTCTGCTGAATGTTTACCTGGCCTGGTGGAAGGTGTCCCTGCCCACGGCAGGGGGGTTGGAACTAAATGGGCTTTAAGGTCCCTTCCAACCCAATCCATTCAACGATTCAGTCTACGATTCTATGACGTTTGAAAGACAGATTTCCACTTTCGAAGCAACTGCTTGTCTCAAGAAGTAGACTCAGTGGCTCAGGAGGAGGACGAGGGAACCCCATGTGATTTTTTTTTTTTTATTTTATTTCCTCTTGTAGACATCCTCTTCAGCCATATCTGCTCATCACAGAGGGGCTAGAGCAGCCTGGCTGCAGGAAATCGCCGTGGCACCATAATTCTGTGGAAATGGTGATGATTTGGGAAAAGTCTCACTGAGAACTGACCACAGGTACTCCATGGCACAATGGGGAAGCGTGACCCGGCCTCGGCAGACGCGATGCAGCAAGCGTTGGTGCATGGGAGTTGCGAGGAGCTGAGATCAAAGCCGCAGCCATGCCAAGCTTTCCTGGCCAGACATCGTTTTCGATAAAGGAACTGGGCAATCATTGCTCCACAGCTCCACGGAGTATATGCGAATCATTATTAAATGTGAAGCCTGAGAAGGTGTGAGGGAGAATTCACTCTGAGTGGCTCAGCCCCAGCACCAAGGACATTACACCTTGATGTGCAAGAGAGCTTGGATGGTTCATCCCACCTGAAAAAAGGCATCACAGACAGAAGAGATGTTGCTGCTCCAGGGTGTTCATCATTTTTGGGTAAGACTATCTTTGAGGAGATGGTTGCTCTCCCAGTGTGGAAAATAGGGTGTGATAAATCACGTAAGTCCATCCTCGTGTCCTCAGCTGCTGTCCCATTATTTCCAGCTCCCTGGGAATGCCGTGGAAGGGGCTGACAGGAGCTGGTAACAGCCCTCTGTAGTGGTGACAGCAAACCACGGCCACCACAGCCCCAGCCCTTAGCCAGGTTCTGCACCGACGCAACGCACAAACCCCATTGTGAGAGTGTCAGTGGTAATCCCTCCCTGCTTTTTATTTTTCTCCAAAAAGAACTACAATAGTAAAGTCAATAAATAAGCCAAAATATCCTCGAGGAACTGTTATACAGGCTGGAGTAGGGCACATGCTCCAGCTTTCCCTCCCGGCTGCAGCCTTCACCTTGACCAGACTCTCTAAGGGTGCACAAGCCACCAGTGGAGAATTAATTGGGCAAATTACGAAGCATTTTGGTTGCTCTGAGCAAATTATGGTTCATCAAGCAAAAATTTCCAGAAACTCCTTTCCCACAGCGCTTCTTCAGGGCTGGCTGGCATGTAGCTGGGCCATGAGCAAGAGCTGAAGGGGTATCTAAAGCACGTTTTGGGGGTTACCCTCTCGTTGAGGATGGTTTTGGGGTCAGGCCTCCCGATGGGCTTATTCGAGCATGGACCCAGGGGCTCTTGTGGCCCCACGGGATGAGCCCCCGTGGAGGAGATGTCCTCCGTGGGGTGGGTCTGCAGGCGTGTGCAAGGCAGAGGACTAAACCCCGCTCCGGCGCCGTGGGGCCGGGGGATGTTGGCTCCGGGGTGGAGCGGCTGCCGGGACAGGCGAGGTGCAGGAGGGCAGGGACAGGCAGAGCTGGCTGAGCCGCTTCCCACGCGTGCAGGCAGAGCCGCCCTCGGCAGCGGTGAGGGGCCACGGGGGGTTCCCCTCATCCTTCTTCCTCCATATTCGGCCCCCGTCGGTGTGAGCAGGGTATGGGGGGGGGGGGGGGGGGTTGGCTGCTGAACCCTGCCCTTGGTTTGAGTTTATCTGGGGATCGGGGGGATGCTCCCGGAGCTCAGGTGTGCTGCCTGCACAGGCAAACCCCTCCCGCCCCACCGCGACACCCCCGGGCTTGGGCAGTGCTGGGGTATTTCCCTCCCTGCGCGTCCAGGTTTTGTGCACCACGGCTGGGTGGGGGGCTCGGAGACACCCCCTCCCTGGCTGGTAGAGGAGGATGATGCTTGGTGGGTGTTTGCAGCTCCCCTCCAGCCCTTCTGGCACCACCTCCTGCTCCCTTCTCCCTTCCTCCCTCTCCTTCCTCCTCGCTCTCCTGCCCGATTTAAGGATAAAAGAGAGCCCACAGGCAGCCCTTTCCCCTGCTACCCACCCTCCCAAAGTCTCGGAGTCCTTCTTCCCTCTACTTTTGAGCAGTGCATGGTCCCTGCTCCAAAGGAGTTGAGGGGGTCCCGGGGCAAAGGGTGGTGGCACCGCCACATCGGGTGACATCTGTCAGGAGGATGCTGGAGGCAATGGATTCGTGGCCCTCAGGGTTGATCCAGAGACGGTGGCACGGTGGGCTCTGCTCCAGCTCTGCTCGCCTTCAGTCCCCAGCGTGGAGCTGCAGGGAAGGTGGCTGATGTCAGGCAATCACAGCTAACACGGTTCTTCCCAGTAACCCGGCCTCTCTTCCTCCACGTGGACAAGGTTAGCTCGTTTTCTTCCTGAAGACAAAAAAAAAAAAAAAAAAAAAAAAAAAAAAAAAAAAAGGCAAAGCAAACACCTCAGCCTTTGTTCGGGGAGACAAGGACTGCAGCCCGCTCAGATGGAATTTATTTTGTGCTCAGTAATTCAATCCATTCGGGCTCAGGATGTGGCCAGGAGAGTTGAGCCAAAAAATGCAAGTTTAAAGCAACTAAATTTTATGCTGTGTATACAGTTAAGTTTGGGTTTGGCTGAGACGAGCAGTTTCCATGGTTTTTGCAATTTCTGTTGTAGCAACGAAGCTCCTTATGCAATGGAAGGGCTGGGAAGCGTGTGGTCCTCCGGCGAGCCGCGGACGAAGAGGGACGGGGGGAACTGGGGCAGCCCGGATGGGGGACAGGGCTTATCCCAAGGTGATTAACACTGACCTGACTCTGTGACCCTTGCTGGGGACAGCACGCTCGGCATGGGTGAGTACATCCCGGTGGTCTGGCCTGGAGAGGGTTAGGTGGTTTCCTCCAAGTCCATTCCCCCAACTCCAAACACCTCCAGTGCCGTGCAGAGCTGCTGCCAGTGCCAGGATGCGGCTGCTGAGCCGCGCTTTTCCTCGCTGAGGTGTCCCTCTCCCTGACATTAACATTTTTCAACGTCACTTTAAGGCGAAGGCTTGGAAAAGCTGAGTAATGCCGAGCTGTAGCCCAGCAGCTGGGCTGCAGATGTGCGGAGAAGCCCACGCCAGCCTGCAGCATCACTGCGTGTCCTCGTCCCCTCCGGCTTCATCTGCCCTCCGCACACGGGGGACGCATCCTTGAACAGGGCTCACCCCTAATTTTGCACCTCTGTGCCCCTCCATGGGGGCTGTAGAGCTGCTTTGCAGTCTAGTCTGTGATAAAAAGCATGAGATCAAAACCAGGCAAACCCCCGGTGCTCTCAGAAATAACACGCATTTTTTTTCCCCTTGACCAGGGAATTATTATTTCAGCTTGCCAGCTTGCTTGCATCAGCCGTGCTCATTCCTCTGGTCATGCTTTCAGCAGCAAGAGCTTCGTGTGCTGCCTGGTGGGTGCGAGACGCGCCCCACCGCCTGGAAGAGCATCAGGGCTTGGGCAAAACAAACCTCTGTAGGGAGGTTTTCCTTGTTCAATGGCATCAAGCGGCCCTTTTTGCTCAGGGATCATTCCCACAAAACCACTGGTTTTGCAAGAAGCTAATCCCTGCAGCCCAACCAAACCCAAGGCACAGCCAGTGCCTTGGCCGTGATTTATCCCAAATCCAGTGGTGGATTCCTCTCCAGTGATGCCCTGTGCCTTGTTTGTTACTGTAATCAGGGCCAGTTTACCAAAAAATTATCAGTTCATCAGGCTAGCCACTTCTGTAATGTGCCTGCCAGCAACCCACAGGCTTGGAAGCAGCTCTCCAAACACTTGCTTCTCTTACCTTTTGCATTTTTGACTGCCCTGCTGAAGCGAATCCTCCCGGCCTGCCCCGTCCCACTGCCAAAGCTTCACAGGAGCCATTCAGTGATGGACACTTCATCTTAGGTGTCCAGCCCAAGGGCTTCCTGATGGGGCTTCTGTGAATTTAGCAACCCAGTGGATTTCTGCCCCATTAATTTCTCCACTATCCTCTTGAACCCGTGTAACCACTGGGATCCCCAGCGTCCTGTGGTGGGGAGCTCAGGAAGGCCAATAGGTGCTGTTTGGGCACCCACCTTCTTTCGGGTGCTGTGAACAGGGCTCCCGTTGGCATCATCTGATGCCTGCCTGACCCTGTGTCGGCAGAGATGGGGCACAGTCCCTTCTTCCTGAGGCCACTGAGATTTCACAGCCTGCTGTTGTTGCCTTATCTTGCAGCCTCAAGGCACCTCGGGCGAACAGAGGGCTCCTTCAGAAATCCCCATCCTTGCCCTGCTCTCCTCACCTCCCCTGCACTGTGCCACCCCGACCTGCCTGTTTCCCAACTTCTCTTCCTAGTGTAACCCCAGCTTGGGGGTCCTGCTCCCTCCCTGCTCCGTGTCCATCCCGACACCCGGCACTTGCTGGTGGGGTAGCTCCTCCAGGAAAGATGAGATCTGCAGCTTTGCTTGGCCTCAGGGGGCTCGCACCGTGTGTCGCAAGCCGTTGGCATCGCTTTGGAAGCTGCTGTTGGCCATATGTCACAAAATATTAGGATGCTGGCGCATTGTTTCAGCATCTGGCAAAACTTGTCCTGCCTCACCCCCTCAGTACCAGCTTGCTGAGTCCCTTTGCTGCTCCCCAACCGCTGCTGGTCCCCGCACCTTGACCCCAAGAGCGTTTTGCATCCCGTTTTTTGCCCGCAGGTTGGAGTGAGGGGATTGTGCCCTGGGACTCATCTGTGTCCCCGCCCCATGCCTGCCTCCTCCTCTTCCTCCTCATTGCTTCCAGCAGAGGTTTGAGATGAACATCTTCTTCAGAGGTGCTTGGGTGTCCTGGTCTTGCAAGCGGCCAGTGTGTGCCTGGAAGACCTGCATCCATCCAGCATCGCTTCGAGGGTGCTTGTGTCTTACCAGTGAGGTGCACGACACTGTGGAGGTGACATCTGAGGTGTGCAGGGACCTGCTCGAGACCACCACCATGTTCAGGACACCATCTCCATGCATGCCCACCTATGAGTGTGGCAGGGCTGTAGACCCACAGAGCTGCTGAATAACAGATTTCCACAGGCTGGCCCATAGACTGTTAACACATTAATTAAAAGAAGAAAAGGGACTCGGTCCCATTAAGCTCACCATCTGTTTTAATTATCCACTAAAGCTCACAGAAAGCTCTGTACACACTATAATTGCATAATTAAAATGAACTGTTGGGAGATAGATGGCACAGAGATGACTGGGGAGAGAAAAGCAGTCCTTGCTCCTATTCTGCTGTCACGAGCATCGTAATTAAGAGGGAGCAGCAAAGCAACACCTTTTTGGGCTGAGCTTGTCATTGCAGAGTCCCTGTTGACTTCTGATAGCTTTCTGAGGCCAACTGTGTAGTTTCCAGCCTGAGCAGAAGCGACAGCCATCGTTAAACCCCACTTTGCTGATAACTGTGATGAAAGCCCCCCGTGCGGGTCCGAGACGGTCAAACGTTTCTGTGCATCGCGAGCAAACTCTGCCAACCCCGAGTTGCCAGCCCAACTCACCGCCTGGATGCATCTCACCCTGTTGCAGATAAAACCGACTGTGTCGGAGCTCCTCGCCTGTCTTGTGCCCGTGGGTGGGGGGAGCCCAGCGGAGCCAAGGGAGTTTATTTGGCAGCTCCCAAAATCAGGTCGCCAGTTCATTCAAAAGGAGCATGTCCAAAGCCTGGCTGGTTGCTCTTGGACATAAAGCAGGCTGACTTGTTCTCATGGCAGAGGTTTTCAAATCAAAATATTAGTCTTAAAAAGAAAGAAAGGGAAAAAAAAAAAAAAAAAAGTATAACAAACTTCTTCCTGTGAATAGCAGTGGGAATTCTTCACATTTTCTGTTTGTTTGAGTTTTTTTCTTTGTGAAGGGGTTTTTATGCTTGTATTATTTAGCTGATATTCTCATATCATCTTGCACCTTGTTTTTCCCAGATCACTGCTCTTTCACATTCCCTGCAAACCTGAACTCTGGGTTAATACTTTTCTTTGCCATTAAACTTCTGATCTGCACTGAGAAAACGCGATGAAGTCATTGCAAATCCTGAAAACTGGAAAAAGTCGCTCTTGTTTGAAGCTCTCTTGGGGTTAGCCTCTGACAAGATCCAAAACACAAGTGTTCGTGGACAAAATATGTCTCTTGCAATCTGCCCACACTGGATCAGGCTAGTAACGAGTTCATGACAAGCAACGTACTGGAACGTAATTAGAGGAGAACTCCATAGCCAGCCAGAACCTTCCAACATTTTAAATGTCAGCTCAGAAACACATTAATTGTTTGGAAGGATCTTCCGGAGCCAAGGTAAACTTTGGGGAATTGGGGTGATCTGCCAGCACGCCTTCAGAGCAACGAGGTCCTGGTACCAGCTCGCTGCAGTGACTCCTCCTTGGCACGGCCGTGATGGATGATTTCTGTCACATCCCATCTCCCATGGGCCGGTATTTTATTATAATTTTCCTGGCAGAAAACAATGGTTTCGTCAAGACTGAGGTGTTTTGCAGGAACATGGCTGACCCTACTCACAAGGAGATGCTTTGACTTTTCCTTTAGAGACAAACTTTCCTCTCCATGACAAGATGGGTTATCTTTTTTTATCAGAGCTGGAATCAAAGATCCAGATCTGTCTCAGTGTCCAGTCCCTCTTTAGAAATCTGTTTCCAGGGAAATTTCAAAATGTTTTTGAAACAAGTTTGCAAACGTGGAGCACATGCCTAGCAATCCTGGCATGTAGCAGCTCCGAACATCCTACAGCTGAGCATCCAAGGGATGGAGAAAATCCCTCCACCTGCAATGGTTAATTCATGCAAACAATGCTGAATTAAACATGTTCCTACTAGAGGCTGACCCAAGCAAACGCTCTCTTGCAAGTGATGCTTTTCCCTCTGTCTTCTTCTCTTCTGGAGTTTTCTTCCAGACAGAAAGCTGGTGCTGGTTCCTCAGCTCTGGAGATAACCCTGGGGAAGGGAAGGGGGGAAGTGGGGAAGCCCTCAGTTGTTTGGGGTCCTGAGCCTGAATTTTGGTGGGGCAGGTGGCTGAAGGGGCTGGGTGGATGTAGGTGACCCAAGCGCAGATTTGAAGCCCCAGCTGGGATCTACACAAGCACACAGTCGAGCTGATGCTTTGTGAGCCAGCCCCGAGGCTGCTGCCTGCAGACACCCATTTCTGTTCCCACTTCCCTGGCCTGGGATGGGAATCTGGGATTTAATGCCTGGAGTCAGAAATAAAGTCCAAGCAGGTGCCGTTGCCAGCCAGCACGACCGATTCAGCCCGGCTGTGATCCTGAAGGCAAGAGCATCCTTTAAAATCCCCAGCGGGGAACACGCGGGAGAACCAAAGACGGCAGCTTGCCACCCAAATTGTGCCAAGGAGAGTATTTTCACGCTCGCCGTGCCACTGGGCCGTGCAGCTCATTGCTGTGGGATGCTGCTGGGCCCGAGAAAACAGCCAGGCTCAGAAAGTGCCCATCGCCCTCCTCACAGACCAGGTGGGTGCAGGGGCTTCACCTTCTCCCTCTCACGCTGCCCACGGTCAGGCTGCCTCTCGGTGCTTTATGAACATAAAACATTTTGCCTGGGAGTTTTGGCTGAACAGCACGTCCTGTATTTTACCATCAGGCACCAAGGCACCTCAGCCAGCTCCTGGGGGATGGTTCCTTAGGGGAGATCATAACGAGATCGCTTCTTGCTGGAGTGATACACTGGTTCATTGGTGCAGAACAGCACCCACCCCTGCTGAGGCTTTCCTTTATTTCTCATCATTAAAAAGACTTAGAGAGTTTTACAGGCTTTTAAAACTCCTTCAGGTAAGGGCATTGGTACCTAGCAGGAGATGCAGGGATTTATATCTTCATAGGGTCATGCAAAACATCACAAATTAGAATAATGAAGTGGGATCATAACAGAGCATGGTGGCAACTGGGGAGTCAGAGATGCCCAGTCCTGGGTGCAGCAACACACACTTGAGGGCGGGGTCCCAAAAAACCCAGAGGGCAAAAGAAACCCCACCTAATTGTCATTTTCTTGGAAATCCCAGAAGCGCATCCCTGTCTGCCATGTGTGGAATTTCAGATGGATCACCAGTGTGACCAGTGACCCTATTAGATGCCAGTTTTGGGGCTCTGGGGAAATGCTTGGAAGGCAGCCAGAGACCACAGCCATGCCGAGTACCAGGCTCTGGTGAGGGATGCTCGCTGGAGCATCCAAAATGATGGATGCTGCAGCTGAACCCCCAAACCCGCAGTTGAATCCCCGAACAGAAGCCTCCAGATGACCCAATGGGCTGATCCTGCAACCACCCCTGAACCCCAGTGGTTTTCCTAGGCTGGGTTTTCTTGCCCACGTGTCCCTCAGAAAACTCCAAGCCTGGGAGTGGGAAGCAGATCTCATGGGTAGCTTAGCTCAGATGTATTTAGGCACAGGCCCAATACTATGGAATATTTGGGTGCAGGTTTCATCTGCTCTCCTTTCTCCTCTTAAGCACATTGTAAAATTAATTGAGCTAAGTGTTGGAGTGAAATAATTGCCCCACCTTGGAAAAAAAAAAAAAAAAATTCCAGACAAATTTTTCTTTGGAACATGTAGAAATAGGACTTTTTAGCTAGTCCAAAACTCTGAGACATTTTGAGTATGCAGTTTGCCAAACCATGTCTCGGTTTTGTTGGCCATTGTAATGGGAAATCTTCTTGCAATCGCCATGTCTTGGGTCTCTCCCACTACCTGTGTGCTCTGTGGTGGCCTTGGCTGAGTGTAAACGTGGCAATTCACCCCAAATCGACTGCTCATGGGTCAAAATTGTGAAGCATCTTCCGGGAAACATCTCCTCCTTCTGGAGAAGGTCTTACTGGGGAGGTCCACCAGCAGTCACCAAAATGCTATTCCTCCTTTGGGCAGCACATTGATTTTTAATGTAATTAAGAACTGTTGGGGTCTTTCAGCCATGTGCGCCCAACAGGCATGTGGCCTCCTGAAGAACGTGTGTCCAGGAGCCCTGCGTGGGCAGAGGGACCAAACGGCCAGCGCTTTGTGCAGAACAGGTGAATGGGTTCTCTGCAATTAATAAAAACACGAATATAAATTGCAATGATCTCCACAGCCGAGTAAAGGAGGCAGTGATGCAGAAAGATGAAGAAAAACAGACTAGTGCTCTGAGGGTTGATGAGGCACTCAGGATTTCAGTGGCTCTTGCAGGGTTTATTAATTAGGGTGATGTTTTTCTATTAATGTGAGCGAGCAAAAGGGTCTCAGAGAAGATGAAGCAACAGGGCAGATATGGATGTTTTTGGTGTAGGGGCCAAACCAGAAAACTGGGAGGGTGCTGGCACAAGAGGGTTCAAACTAACTGTGCCTTAGAGTTCTCAAAAAAATCAGATTTTTGAGGGCTTTTTATTTCACTATTTTTAACAAAAGCTCTGAAAAACGCCTTGTCTGGACCCACCCAGAATTGCTCGTGGGACCAGCGCCGAGTTTATGCTTCTGGCGTCAGGCTCGCTGTCCCTTTTGTGCAGCAATTTTTCTTCCCACTGAGGTCAGCCGCTGAACAGAAAGCGCCAGTTGTTTGGAAGCAGAAAGCCTCATGTAGAAAAACATCCAAATGTAATGATTTGACACTGCGAAACCTTCCCTCCCACCCTGGCCTCGCTTGGGGCTCTGGATGGAACATCTCTGCTGCTCCCCAGCCCCCTCCCATTGCAAACCCACAGCTCATCCCTGTCTCCCCGCTCTCTTTGGGCCACGAAGCCACCCAGGACTTTTGTGACCAGCACGGCCACGCGTGCCCTCTCATCACAGAGATAATGCGTGTTCAGTCACGGGTCGGCTCACCAGGAAACCCAGTGGGTTGGGTTTTGTTTTATTTTTTTGGGGAAGCGAAGGCGACACCTTGATTTTCCCTCCCCAAGCTGAAAGCAGATGTTTGCCACGCTTGGCAGGTACTACAGAGCCACCCGGCTGGAATTCTGACAGCTCGGGCAACGCTGCGCAGAAATTGTCCGTCCTCGTGGAATAATACAGGGCAAACGATTCCCAGCCCATCTGTTTGCTGGCTGGGGGTGAGACGGGAGGTGAGGGGGCACAGGCTCTGCTTGGGCTGCGCGGGGGCCGGGGACATCCCCCCACCCGTTCGCAGGGACACGGTTTGCAGTTGGCAGCGCCCCTCGCCGCGCACCTCCTCGCTCTGGAGCCCGTTGCAGAGGCAGAGGGAGCTGGTTTCCCACCTCCGCATCACGTTGGATTTGTTCTCCCCCCCCCCCAGGGTTGCATTTGCAGGTCACTGCCCAGTCTGGCGCAATCCTCCTGAACTGGTCTTGCTCCTTTCTCTGCGGGGACAGTCCCAGTTGATTGCAGGCTTTCTCCTGGTGGAGCTGGGCGTAGATGTTATGCTGCCATTAAAGACCTCCTGGCTTCCTTCTCTCCAAATCCTAGTGAGCCATGGGCAGGACAAACCTCCAGTGCGTTGGCATGAACAAATCAACCCCTTGTCATCCCTTGATGCTCCAAGGGAGGCTTTTCTGCCCCACACTGCTGCTTCACACCCCATGCTCCTATCTTGCCTCCTTCTCATCCACAAGAAAGCGACGGGAGGAGATGTCTCCTGGATGGATTATCATCCTGAAGTGACTTGGAGGTTGCAGGGCCACCAGCATCCAATGACCCTGCCCAGCCATGCTTCCCAGAGCACGCATTTTGCGGTTGTCTCTAGTTTATTTTTTTTTTTTCTTTTTAACTACTGCCTTTATCAGCTCATTTCAGTGTTGCAGCTTTCCCAAGTGGAAACCTTCAGTGCTGCCTCTGCTCCCCATCACAGCTGGAGCCACTGACCCTCTGTGAGTGGGACAGGCCCCTCCGTGCCACGTGCCTTTGCCCCGTCACAAGCTGGAGCCATCTGGCAGAGGCTGCTGGGGAGCTCAGGATGCTGGGGAGCTCAGGATGCTGGGGCTCTCATGAGTCTCTGCTGATCTCCTGGCCAAAAGCAAACTGGGGAGCTCATCCTTCCTGAAGCCCTCCATCTCCATCCCCCGGCACGT